TGCTTCATAATTCCTTCAGAGAAGAGTTCAGCAGATAAGGAACGCATATTTGAGCTCAGCGTCCCAAGGCGCCTATAAAGAGTATATCTCATTTCCAGTTGGCCGTTGTTGACCAAATGACCTCCCGGTATGAAACGGGCGACGGACTTTTGGCTCGTCCGGGCAAATTGCGCGGCGAGCGGCGCGGCGATCCCGACGCATCGCGGGAATTCAACACGTCAACGTGTGAAGATTGCGGATAAAATCCGCAAGGTTCTGCAATTCGAAATGCATCTGAACGGCTGGAATTTTGAGGACAGCGGTGGTTGTAGCAATAGGAAGAGATGAGAAGGATAGTGCTGTTATGGCAATCAGGGCGGTCATGTTGTTGGGGGGGGGACGTTCCATTTGGGGGATGTGAGTGAGACAATTACTGTGTTTGGGACCGAGACTTAGGGAGGAGAAGGGATTCTGGGGGATAGAGCTACCGCAAAGGGGTTCCCTGGCGTTCTTCCCCTCTGCTGGGTTTAGTCCTAGTGTCAGTAGTGCCATGCGGAGTTTATTCGCAATCTGCACACGCATTAACGTGTTGAATTCTACCGAAGAACCCGCGAAGCCTTGTCCGTCCAGATCGCCGCGCGTGCCGCCGCGCAACTCGCCGCGTGCCAGTCCGGACGAGCCAAAAGTCCCGCACCCAGTTCTGTGGGGACGCACCCCGCAGAGATAGCCTCGTTTCGCTAGCGGGATCCTTCAATAAGGATGAAACGCAGTATGTACTTCATTTTGCAATTTCCGTAACTCCATAACAAATTAAATTCCTGCCCCACGGTATGTATGGAACGCTACCGCAGTTACGCTTAGCATGAAGGCAGTGCTTCATCAAAATTTCACTTCATCAAACTGGAAGCTTTAGGTGAAATCACAGAGTCTGGTCATTACTGTGAGGTGCGCCACTCGTGAAATCTCTACCTAACGGCTATGGGCGACCTAAGGAAACTTTCTCAGGAAGTTCTTGCTTTCTTTCCCATTATGAATATGTCAGTTGTGATCACTAGAGACAAATTACACGCATCAAGATTCAGTTTCCGAAGAGAACAAACTTACGAAACCACACTCATGGACGTTGGAGGTAGGTCGCGCGGTGTCATGGAAAGAAATGCGCCTTGTTTGGGCCACGTATCAGGCGACGCATTGAAAGAATCGGGTTAAAGCGTGCGATTTTGGAGAGTAGAGACAAACGATCGATAGAATAGGATGCAGTAGAAGTGTGAGATGTTCATGGAATAAGTTAAAAGGTCGAAAAGAGGTTCTAGCGACAGTACTTATCGTGAACGATGAGTGATTTATGGGTATCATACAATCATGATTTTTCTGCGGAGGATTCCTTCAAGCATCTAGATACTGTGTTTGTAAAATACACTGGTGTGCAAAACTTAAGGCACATGATATCTCACTGCTAGCTAACCTTAGGTGGATCAAATTTGGCACATATATAGAAGTAAATGTTGCGGTACAGTGCAGAGAGTTACTAACAGAAAAGCGCAAAGGGGCGATTGGAAAAGACATTTTTCTGCAAATACCCTGTCTGAAGCGGTCGATAGGTGAGGCTTCTCCAACTCATGGTAGACATTCAAAAGAGAGGAGCTGGTTCTTGATGGGGTGTATGAACACTACGGACTGCAAGGCATGCTCTGCCACGTGCTCCAATACTAGCCACAAGGTTGAGTTAAAAGTTCTTGAAGCGATCACTCCTTAAAAACCGCGATAGACAACTGCTGGACAATTGTGGGCACATAGGTTGCGCTACAATATCTCTCCTTAATGCAAGCCACACGGACTCTATAGGATGTGACTGGGGGAAGCAGGCAGGCTTTACCAATCGCCGGAAATCCTCGCTTTCCGAGAGTTTTCCACCTAGGCTGCTCGATGCTCCCGCGCATTGTCCCCCATACAATGAAGTTGAGGTCAAGCGGCACCTCTTGAAAAGGTGCACATAAGTGAGGAGTACAGTGTCACAATAACGTCGATCAGAAAGCATTCCGCGATCAGGAGTTGGGAGGTTGGTACGCCCTTGCAACTTTATGCCTCCCCACACCATATCGAATGGACTATCAAAACAATCATGTTGAACGATGGTCCTGGGTGCATTACATGTTCCTATTCTCGCCACATGCGGTAAGTCCAAAATCACTACTTACATTCAATTTGATCTTAACTGAGAAGAACACGCGATCATCCAAATCAGTGGTCCATCGCCAATGTCCCGGCACCTAGCAAATGTTCCCGCCGATGCGCGGGTTTCGAAGGAACACCAGATACTGTTGGTCGGTCAGAGAGACCATGCCTATGCGGTCACTGTGCCACTGTTCAGGCTGGGATTACATGCCTTACAATCCTGATAAATGTTTTTGCAACTGCAGCTGTGACTGACGTGGGTCCATTTTTGCCTGTTGCAAAACGTAGCAATCACCTGCTGTTGCGTTGATCGTGATCCACCACCTACTCTTCTAGGGGCAGCAGTGGCTGCAGTCCATATTGCTCCTTATGCGCACAAAACAATGGTGTGAGCAATATCAAACTCCTGGACCACACTCGTTACAAATCTTCCTTCTTCCAGTTTCCCGGTGATTCTTCCTCGCGTAAAGTCACCCTAGTGTTGTCTCTGAGACTTGCTGTAATCAAGAACACCACTACATTCCACAGTAACTTCTCCCTGCTCAGTACACTCCCTCTTGTCCTGCCCCACCAAACCCCTCGTTCTGGTGGCCACTCCCTTTTGGCTCCAGATTGAAGCCGGATGCAAGACATATGAGGCCCACTTTGTGCCCATGACTGTAGGGCTTCTAGCATTATGCCTTGCACAGTTTCATCCAATTCCATCTAATTGTTAATAAGTTAGGTCAATTTATCCATCTCGTCCTTAAGTTTTGCACACCAGTGTATGTAAACCAGCAACATCTCAGCAATGTCTAAATAGTCAAGTTTCTCTAGACGCTGTTGATTATCCAGTGAAAAAGAGTGAGAGTGAAAACTGGTTACTCACAACTAACGTATAGGACTTTTGTAGGCTAATACCTGGAATGTTGTGAAGCGGTCGCCAACCATGCGCTTTCCCATATCGTTTAATGGACGAATCAGGCTATATTCTAGGAGCCTCTCTTCTATGTAACTGGACAGTACCAATTTTGCGCTGAAAACGTTCAAAAAGTAAATTTTATCTAGTAATTCGCAGTAATATAATGCTAAAGTGGCAACAACATTTAAAAAGCCTCCAGGAAGATTTTTTACTCACATACCGTCGGAAATAAGGAAGTGCATTGACGGTAGGGTTCTCTGAAAAAAAGGAGTTCTAGAACAACTCTACGTTATCTTTTTCTGGAAAACATATACCAGTATCAGGAATGCCCATAGTTCTTACAATCCATGGTGCAGGCTCGCTTGTAGTGAGAATGATTGATCTGCAATTGAGATTTTCTTTTCTGAACAAGCAGCCAGAAGGTAGTTGGTTAAAACCTGTTCGACATAACTTGTTGAAAAAAGGCGGTCGGCATTGATCAGTCACTTCCTGCTATGCGCCACGCACCCACTTACATTTAGAATCAGAGCGGCATTTGAATGGTCTAGTCCACGCTATGTGGCTAGCGGGGTCAGTCCATGAGAAAGTTGTATTCTGAGACTCTTGTTATCCCCACTGGACCAATTATCGAGGCGTAAGTGACGAAATTCATTCGACTCAAGCGACTTCAGAGAATGAAGAAATTGAAATTGAAATTTGAAGAGAATTCGCTGGTAGCGAAATAGCTGATGATTAAAAACGACACAAAAAACTTCTCCAATGTATGGCTGCAGTACGGGGCAGTAACAGCTTTACGGCGCAGGGTTTACTTGTAGTTCATGTGGAAGGTGTGCACCGATCTACCATAGCAGTCAGCAATGTAGGAATACTCAAGTGTATACTATCCAACAGGATTCGTAACCTTCAACCAAATTACCGAGTTTTTTTTTCGAGTAAACTGTTTTTGCAAAAAATGACGGTATCGTATCGGTGAAGGTGCGCTAAAAAACGCAGGAGTTGAAGAAGCCGTTTAAGTACAAGGGCATAAAATATGTGATTACTCCATATAATTCCAATTGCCACTGAGCCACTATGTGCAAATTTGTCCAGCGGTGGTGTCTATAAACTCTAAAATCACGTCAAAGCATTGCCAGCAGGGTGAATATCGGTCGAAGATTCCTCAATGGCACGTCGCGGATTTTCGCTTGATCTCCCGTGCGGACATTTACACTCGCCATGCTCGAGCCGTCTGTGCTCTCCGCGCGTACGTTCACTCTTGGCACTACTCCCTTACAGTGCGAAGCCATGGTCAAGAAATTCCTCGACCGTTATTCTCCCTGATTGCCCGAGGAGAAGAATAAAAATATGCCAAAATGTCACACTTTTGTACACCTGCCATACGAAGTAATGGTTGAAAGCATGTGGCACCAGTTGTAATTGCAATGTCGAACTTCTCATTTCGTATCCAATCGATCACATCCATGCGGCCAAAAACTTCTATAATGTTTGCTTTTCGCAAAATACTGTAAACTGGGCACGGACAGTTCAAAGTTCAAGTCTGAATATGCAAGGTTTTAGGATCCTGAACTCTTTGTGACCTTGTAGAAGAATGCATACAAGTGGGAACTCGTATTCCTTACATGCGTGTAGTGCCTTCAATCACCTTGCCATAGCGAACCGATTCTATTGTTTCATTCCATAGAAATCCTACAACAACTGGAAGTCTAGCGTACATTACATAAAGATAAGCGAGCGGCAGGGAGGGGGTGGAGATAGGGGATGGAGGCGGCCGTGTTCGAAGGCTGAGCATTGCATTCTTCGAAGGGTTGAGTCAGAAAAGTTTGAAATCGTTGCTGTTTTACTTTCTAGTAGTTGCTCATCCTTCACCCTCACTCCCCCTTCCGGGTCTATGGACTCTTCAGCGATGAAAGTGTTTCACGTTAAAGCCAGGAGAATAATTTACACTGTCTAACTTCACTAAAAGGAACATCGAGGCTCCAAAGGAATTCTACGACAGAGACTCCTTCATGAGGGGAAAGGAGGGGAGTTCTGGTAATCCTTGAATCCGTCGAACACTATGTTGGTCAAATCATGATGTTTTATCAGCTTATCCACTGACGAAACTGGTGAACTGATAAAATGAACACCCTGGTAAGAAAAAAAAACCGTACCATGCTTATCATCCTATTACCATGTTGAAGTGAACAGACCCACAAGATCGCCACGAGTTTTAATGCTCAAGATCGCCGTGACAATTCCTATTTATTGAGCATGATTCAAAGAGTTCATAGTCGGCTTTATTTTTGTGGTAACCTCGACGAACTATTGGATACCATGTAAAATCTTTTCCAACCTAACTTCGAATTTGAATACTTCGTAGTCTCGCTGTGGTTTGAAGATTCTTATAGTGTATAATTTCAGAAGACCTGAACTAAATTTAATCTTTTCTTGAGGACGTATTTTGTTACAGTAGGATCTCAATATTGAAATGGTCATCATAATAGTCGACAGCATGTGTCCAAATGGGAAAGATTTTCGGTCCGTGAAGCATGGAGCTGTGGCGTGAGCCGAGGAATTTGGAGAGCTCTCGCGCTTGAAGGGGTAATTGAATTTTCAATGTGGTGGTAAAGCTTAAGGAATCTTGGCGGGGCGGTAAAATTCTTGCAGCCTCTTCGATAATAATGAATATGTCAGTTGTGATCACTGGAAATAGCACACAAAGTTTCACGCATGAAGATTCGGTTTCTGAAGAGAAACAAACGTACAAAAACTACACGTTATGGACCATCGAAGGACCAGGAGGCAGAGCCAGGCGAGGCATGGAAAGAAGACGGCGTTTGGCCGGCTACGTACCAGGCGACGCAATGAGAGAATCGGGTTAAAGCGCGCGATTTCGGAGAGTGGAGACAAATCGATCGATGGAATAGGATGGAGTAGAAGTGTAAGATGTGAATGCAACGAAGCAGAAGGCCAGAAAGAGCTTCTAGTGAATGCACTCCAAGAACCAAGTTTGAGCATCCCCGTCGCCAGCATTCGTGAAAGACGTCCGTGGGCAATTCGAACGCGTAGCAGCCTTTTCGAGTTTTCGAATTTCTAATCAAAACGAAAGCAATACTTCAGTTCTTTTCACTATTATCGTGGATAATGAGTCTCAAGCCAGTGATTTATGGCTGAAATAGAATCATGATTTTTCCGCGCAAGATTCCTTTAAGCAAGCAATCAGATAGTCATCCAGGTGGGCTACACCTAAGCGCATAAGCCGAAATGGTAGCTTCTCTTTTATGAGTTTGATAACCTCCTGGCGGTGTTGCTAACAAACAGGTGATCGGCCGTTGTAGTGACGAAGGCAAATTTTCTGACTATCGTGTGTTTCTCGCGGCGAATAACGTCGGTACTTCGACGTAGACGAGGGTACACCTGGGCGGTCATGGTGAATCCGGCAAAAAGCAATTCGAAATAGAGCGTTCCTTGAGAATAACACCAACAACAGAAGCAAAACCTTCGCCTCGCTTTGTTCAACCTGGCCTCAACTTTCGGTTCTAAACTGCTTCTCTGGCTGACAGCCGTTGGTGACGTCGCCAATGTGACAACGTGCTGAATCCATCTATAGTTCTCTAGTTACGAAATATTTGAAGCATCTTCCTGTGAGGACGCAGAAGATGGGCTCGCGCTGACCCTTGACGCTTCGTCCGAATCACGGACTAAGTGGAAGTTATAATCAAGACAACTTCACGGAAATTTTGTAGAATGCTACGATGGTGGGCTATAATTTTCTGGCCGCGCCCAAGGTAATTTGCGAGCACTAGCACTGGGCTTGCGCTTCCTAGGGCATTGCGTATGCTATTGTTGCCTACTGCAGTCGGGGATCCAGAACGATAGATCTTCAACGATAGGCAATCTTTTCTAAAGAAAGCGCTATATCAACCGCTCATCTTAGGTTGGGATATATTGACTTCCTTAAGTCGAAGCTCACATATTGGCGACAGAAATAAGGGTTTGTGGGGAATTTTGAAGAGCTATGGGCCGCTGATGATTTCCGTCAACTAAAGTTTTATAGCTTAGTGAGCTTCTCCAAGATAGTGGTACTTGGCGAGGCTGACGTCTCAGCTTTCTTCGCCTTCTTCAGAGCCTGAAAAACCCGTCGAGAACAGATTGAGATCCACCCCTCAGAACTTCTAACAATGATGAAAGTCGAAACGCCAGCCTTCTCAAGTACTACTGCTATCTTGAAGGAGCTCAATTCTGTAAACTGAATCTTCAATGCCAAGATTAAAAGAAAGTCGATCGTGGACTGAAGTCTAGTTTGGGGGCCTAATAAACGTTAATAAGGCGATTTCATTTACCGTTTGCTTTGAGATGGAGGCAATTTTCAATGATTCAGGACATGTTGCAATTTACCCGGACTTCTTTTCAAATGGTTCAGAACATTTTTTCAACCCGTACGTTTCTGAATTTATCAAGGGCGTTTTTCAAATCAACTCGGACATCTCTACGCATTTAGGACACTTCTCAACAACCGCGGACCCGGCTTTTCACCCCTTGCGAAAGCATAATTCGACACATTTTCAGAAACGCAAGGTGCTATCATCAGATGAAATGTTTCTAATAAGTTAACTGGTGCGCCCGGATATCGAAGTTTTTGCTCGGTGAATCTATATTGAGCAACGCGGCCGTTGAGCGCAGTCATTCAAGAAAACGTTAATGTGGTGACGGAACACGTTGTGCTAGCCACGTTATCTATGGCGATGACATAGTTTGGCCGAATCGAGGGGGCGATTCGCTAAGGGCGATTCGGGCTAGATCGCGAGCGTTGGTCAGCGAATCGAAGCAGTTGGCGCCAGAAGAATCGAACTAAGGTAGGGCCAGCGCTCAATAGTGGCGGAACCCAAGGTTTAAAGGAAGCGCGCCACTTTCAAACAGTGTCCACTGTCAAAGTCCCGCCACTTTCAACAGGCTTCCACTGTCAGCGTGACACCGTTTGAAGGTGGCGGGCTTCCTTTAAACGTTGGGTCCCGCCACTAATTGAGTCGCTGGTACCCGCAAGTTGACTGCGGGGGCTGGGTAGCAGTGGTTCGAGCTCCTGGGGCTGCAAAATTTTGATTGGGTGCTGGTGGGGAACGTTCGTTCGCTGACGCCCTAATTGTAAGCCACGCTACGATTTTTCAAGCTGTAATGAATAATCATCATGGCAGCACCAAAATCAACGCGGTTGTTATCCCTCACTTACTTTCGCAAAATGTTAGCATATCATGCGATAACCTTCTTATAGCTCGAATACGTTCCATCACACTGTACTGATGCCATGCATTGACAAGAGCTTCGCTTTCTACTGCATAGTCGATCACCTGAAAATATACCAAAGAATGGAGGGTAGGCTTGTAGTAGAAACAGTTTTGTTTTCAAAACGATACCACCTACCTTGGACACAAATCGACTAGGGAAGACCTCTTCGTGTGGAATCTTTAACTGTCGAAAGCAAAGTCTGAAAATGCTGTTATCTGTTCGTAAAAGTGTATAGAAATGGTGTTGTCTGTCCGTTGCCTATAGCATAAGAATCCGTAGAAAAAACCGGTCCAGAGGGTGGGCACAAATTACGGCAATCACACTTGATCAAAAATACTCTGAAGTTTCCGTGTTTGTATATGTTTGCCTTGCTTTTTTTGGGTGAAGCAGCATTTTTAATCTTTTCTTTTGTCACAGATTCTGATGTGGCTCCAAAAGTGGTGATTTCGCTTCTACCAGAAAAAAAAATTATACCACCTAGTCACGCCGACAAGGTGTTCCGGCGGGCGACTTATAGAAGCTTGTGAATCAAGTAGAAGTAAGCAAGACCGTGGTCTGCAGTAACTTGAAGGTATGCAGAGTTGAGAAAACTCGGAGTGAAGCCGCGTCGGAAGCCACCAAGTGGCCTTCCTCCAAATCAAAGAATGTGGCTGGAACCGTATTTCAAGAGTGTCGTGACTTGCGTACGACCTGGGTTTACGATATGCGCCGGGATGAAACCGCGCTCCATTCGAAGTCGCATGCGGTCTTACCGCGAAGCATGGAAAGCACTGGAAGCGCGGGAAAAGCCAGTCACGCGCGCAGTCGGTCGGTTCAAGTCAGTGTCGTCAGTGCAGTCGTCAACGCCGGTTCGTCTCGAAGTCAGTCGGCTGGACCATTCAAGCGCAGTTGGTCCCATTCATCTCGTCTACGCCGGAGAGCCATCTGCCCGGCATAAGTCGGTGGACCAGCGCAGTCGTCCTGACCCTAACCCTTGGGACTTACACGCAACATGCCGATCATGGAACCCATCTCTTCTCATTCTCTTCCACAGGTATTCCCATAGTAGTTATATAAGTCCTTCTCTTATGTTAAGTATTGTACATCAAAACCCGGTCTTAAATACCGGTTTATTTTGTAGTACGTAAAACGGCAAACCTTCTTTATCTAATTGCAATCATAGTACAACAGCGTAGCATACAATTCGTAGCTTCTTAAGGGGTCAGGCCTTAATGCCCGTGGCAAGGCGTAGTAGCATTCAGCGCGACAGGTAACCCCCTTAGGGTGTGTGGGCACCATAATTCCCACGTTCTGGCGTGGTCCAGGTGCGCAAGCCGCCGATGCATCCGTCAGTCAGCACCTGGTCACGACAACATGTCAAAGCGTGTTCTGTTGACTCCAAAGGTGAATCCCCGAATGATATCTGTGGATTCTTGAATCAACCGACTTCAGAAAGTCTGATCAATCTGACTCTTTGCAGAACTTCCTGTAGAACTATCGACATAGCCGAAGGATTTTGCGTGCCAACACACGAGCGCTTTCCTTAGTAGCAAGCACCTGGTAACATGGCCTGGTGCAGATGGTAGTCAGCAATTGAATTTCTTGAACTCAGTCATGGGTTATTCATCGGACCCGAAGTTTTCTGCCCAAATTTGCACAGACTCCTTACTGTGAAATGCACTCCGACCCGTGAGTACTGGCAATTTTCGCACCCTAAAACTCTAAAGATAACCTTAGTTAGAGTATAGTCATAACAAGGTTCAGCTACTGGGTCTAGAAGAAACTTGTCGTCGAAAGGAGTTTAAGTCTTGTCTTTACTTCCCATAGGGATATTTCTAGGAGGGGTTCTCAAGGCAACGGTCAAGCGCGAATGTTGTTAAGCAGATTTGTAAAAAAAAAATGGTGATATTTCCTTCACACAACAATCCTTTCATTTTTGTATTAAAATGGCCTACCACGAACTTTAGGCTGCCTTGAGACGAAAACCCATATCTCAACTAATATTACATTTGAAATGAAAAGTCACGCTCACACCAATATTAAGGTGAGATTTCTGCGTGTTCTCCAGGAAGTGTAAGTAAGTTCACAAAACGTGATCAGCCCAAAATGTTAATAACTAAAAACCTTAGCTTCAGCTGATCCCCTATGTATATGGAGAAATTTTAGAATTCTCCAGGCATTGCAAAAAGAAATCGCAATTCGCTTCACGTATGTAATGTACCCTCCTCTTTCAAAAAACCAGAAAAGTCGGGTGCAGACCATACACCACAACTGACGACGGCCTCCAAGTAAATCTGGTTAGTAGTGTTCATAGTGATAGCTGATTTTGGTAAATGATAGTTGTAATTAGTGACAACGATACAACTGCAACAGGCTAATCATTTCATTGGCAGAAAACATTTACATTTTGTGGAGGCCGTCGTCACTTGTGGTGTATGAATGACGGTATTCGCTTTTTGTGAAAGGGAGTATAGAAAAATGCGTTCGTCCCTCACAGATAAAAGCAACTAGCCTACTGCCACTCACCACTCGGTTCCCAGCATTAGCGAGAGTGCTGGCTAGTTTTCTTTGTAGTTCAATGGCGGCAACATTTCCCTTCGTTCCAATGATCAAAACCTTCAGTGGATTCACTGGCTTCTCATCTGAAAATGAGGAATTCACTGCTTCACTTTTCTGCTCTAACATAATATTTTTTGTTGTATTAGGCCATCTAGGATGAATGGTGAAAGCTTGTGATTATATCATTACTTCGAACATGTACTTTCATTTTCCAAAAAAAGTTTTTTGTCCACTATCCGACAATTCTGCACAGAAAAAATGGTTTCGATGGGTTGGCTAGAGCAACTGGGAAGCGCCACCGCGGCGCCAGCGCCTACCACGTCAGATACCGTAGTTGCAAATAATAATAGGTTGTAAGGGAAGTTCTTGACATTGGACCTCGAAATTCCAATGAGCAATATCTCGACTTGGGCAAAATGTTTCCTTTCGTGATAAAAGCCATTACAATCCAGCCTTTTTACCAACAATAGGTAAGTTCAAACGATCCGCTCACTGAAAATATAGGAGTTCTAGAGGTTATAACTTCGACAAAATTTATTTCACTGTTATGTTATCATTTGTATTTCTCTTTACAGAAGCTATCCAGGCGGTTGAGAAGTCACAGTGAATGGTTGAGAGGTCTAATTGGTAAGCGTTTATGGCATAGATGAGTGCCACTGTATGTTCATTCTGTGAGTTGGTTCAGCTTTCGACAGCCGAGGGAGATCGCGGAGAAATGTCGGCCCATTTATGACGCCCTTTCTGGGCGCTCTTATTACGGTTTCGTGACAACTTGACTTCTTATTAAGAACATCCGGTACATTAGCTCCGCCTGGGCTCAGAGAGCTGCATCTGTCGCAGGCCACATAACAGGCAGCACAATCTTCTCATCGAGCAGTTCTACCTTTGAAAAGTTTTGTTTCTCCAATCTTGATCGAACACGCAGCTGGGTTCGTAGATCATTATCAAGAATCTGTTCTTCAGTGCACACAGGAATTCGGGTCGTCTCCACCGAACGAATGAAGGTAGAAGAAAGGCAGACCGCTCTGCGGAACAGCGGCTTTTCTGCATCCCCCATATCGGTATTTCCGGATTTCTCAACATACTCTATACTAATTGAAACTACAAATCAGTCAGGACTGATTCAGTAACGCCCACTCAACAGTTCTGAGCACTGTCGGTTCTACCAAATATTTCAGCTAATTCTAACTAAGTTAGATATTCCAGAACCACCCTTACCAAATTTTGGTGCTCTCTGCGAGCCTTCCAAACTATCACTGCAGAGCACATTTTGTCAATTCAAGGTCAAACGAAGAGTGAAGGGTTGATTCCGCTCTTTTCTGCCCTAAGATAGAAGGGAAGAGAAAACGGAGCGGACTTGCTCGTCGAGCAAGAAGGAAAAGGTAGTGCGGATTTGTTTTTGAGCAAATCGTATTTAAGGCTTCGGAAAAGTAGAATCTAGGTCTAGCATTGTTCATTATAAGGGAACGGACACATCCCTGAAAGGTGTCTTGGACACATCGCACAGCCAACCCTGCACAAGTTGGACCAGCTGGGCTACGGAGTGATGCTGCAAACATCTTACTCAGTAGACCTTGGTCTATCAACTGTCACATTTCTGACGATCTCGATAGCTTCCTTGAAGAGAAATGCATCAAAACCCAACATGATGCTAAAACGACCTTCCCTCAGTTCATCGCCTCCAGAGCTCCAGCATTCTGAACAAACGTACCCAGTAACGGCTTCTTATAGAAAAAGGTTCGCGCATTCGAATGGTTTTTTTTCAATGAAAGGTTTCAGTTTAAGCCGAGATACATGCATTTAAAATTCGGGATCGGAAAACGACAGAACTTTCTGAAAGGCCTAATACATCTAGTACAATCGTGCATAAAGGTTTCCTAGGCGTTGAACTTCTCCTTGAACGTTGCACCCCGTCGTCTGTGAATAGGCGTGCTTCATGCCACCGTCGAGTCGTGGAAGTTCAGGTATCACGTATACTTTAGAATGCGGAAGCATTCCAAAGTATACGTGACTTCTAATCACTAGAGACAACGTACAAATTTTGCGGAGGAAGATACGGTTCCCTAAGAAAAGCAACGTTCGAAAGCCACACTCTAGGGACGGTCGGGGTAGGTCGGGCGGAGACAAGGGGACGCATGGAAAGAAGTGCGCCTTGGGGCGGCCACGTATCAGGCGACGCATTGAAAGAATCGGGTTAAAGCGTTTGAATTCGGAGAATAGAGACAAAATGATCGATAGAATAGGATGCAATAGAAAAAAGATATTATTGCAATAGGTGGACTAGGTAAAAAAGAGTTCCTGGTTTGAACTAAGTGGAATCGCGATTTCTTCCGTTTTTTTTTCTTCCTTGGTGAGTGACGGATATCAAGCTAGCAATTACTGGTTGAAGCAGAATCATAATTTTACATGGGCGACTGCTTTGAAGGAATCCCTCGCGACAAATTCTTGTATTGTTTCCCAGCATGAATGTGACCACTAGAGACAACATACAAAAATTCACTCACGAAGATTCGGTTTCCAGAGAGAAACGAACTTACGAAATCCACATCGAAGGTAAGTGGCGCGGAGCCAAAGGCGGGCATGGAAAGAAGTCCGCCTTCCGGCTACGTATCAGGCGACGCAATGAAAGAATCGGGTTAAAGCGTGCGATTTTGGAGAGT